CCGGACGGGACATTGAATAGCGCTATCGAATTCTCTATTTTCAGAACTCCTAACAGCCTAATCTCCACCAAGTCGTTTATCCAACTGGGTAGCCAACCGGCGCACGAAAGTGTACAGTTCATTGTAGGAAACTGAAAATCAATGATAATGTCACCGTTAGTTTAATTTGCAATCAACCAGAATCCGCATTGTACAGCAGACTTATCTCACCTCCTCGCATATTTCACGTTATCCAATCCGAATCATAGCTTTGGCAAGTGATTGCTAATTACCCATAGCGAAAATTGTTCCCCGTTCCTATCCGATAATGCATAGATCGAAGGAAATTCGATGACTGGATTCTAACATGTGAAGTACTCAGGTGTTATCCCCTGAAGTCATGCTTTTTGATGATTGTACAGTCAAGTTTCGATCCGAAAAATGAGAAACTTTTCTCTTTAAATATAGGTATTGCGCTCTGTTCACATGCTGAGACGGTGATATGAAATTTTGTTCCCGTTTACTGTCTGCCACTCGTTTCAACTTCGCTTCACAACGTACAGAAACTGTTGAATAACTTGCACGGCCAGAGTTCTAAATGACATGATGGAGGTCGGCTCTGGAAAATTCAATAAATTGGAAATTGGTTCGGGATTCTGTACCTGGTACCTTTTTGCTGACATTCGTTTTCTGATTAGAGGATTGTGAACGATTTCGTAGAGCTCAATTACCAGTACAACTAAATTCGTCGCATTGCTTGTTAGTGATATTTTGGGTTGGACATCCACATGTCTAACGCTTGTCAGAACACGTGCCGGTATATGCCACGTCACGAACTGTCTGCAGTTTGTGCTCCTGGTTAACGGGAAGCATACACAAGATAAATAGCGTGGGTAACCGAAATCGACAGGAGCTGATCGGCAGCAATGGCATTCTTGTTCTTAGATGACTTCTATTTGCTCAAATTGTACTGACCAAAATGGTTTGATTAGTTTTCTCTTTGCAAAGCAGCTTCTACAATTGTTTCTCAAATGATCATGATTTCCCCTGGCGCATATGACACTTACCAAGGTTCCATAAACTGCGCCTCACCGAAGATAGCTCGGAAGACACTACGGACCGTGTTGCTCTTTGGTTTCACAACATATACGGAAAATCTGGAAATACAAATTAAACTTTACGATACGGAATTTCACATGGCATTAACCACGTTCGGTCTTCAGATTACTTTAAAATTCCTGAAAATCGGCATCGTTGGTTGTGATTATTAGCAAAGCGCAGACGTTTCCTAAAAAAACATAACTTACCGCTGACTGAAGCTACCAACAGATTTAGGAGACAAGTTTCACGAAACTCATATTAAAGTTTTTAAGAAATTTACGGGTATCATGAAATCTTTCGAAAACTTTTCGATGCGCATGTTTGTCACATGAAAATAAACCAAGGTGAGCCGAACAAGATAGCAGTGGATCAATTCAGTGAGACGTTCAATGGTATGCGCTGTCGGATATGAGGATTCCAACACTGTGAAAGAGTCAATGCAAAGCTAATTTCACTGAGCCAGTCCAACAAATACGGGTGAAAAAACTTCACGGTCAACTGTTAAACAGGCTCACTCGGCCATATAATTCAACAGAAATGAAGAGATTAATCAACTCTTGCACTGTTTTTACACACTGGAATATAGTGAACAGTGCAGCCTGTTGTATTTTCGATTCATATTCAGCAGTTTACTCACAAACAAAGAGGTAATAAGTGAACTTTGTCTCAACCCTGGATTGTGGAAAGTTCTCGTCTGCAAATATATTCTCCCCATTGAATATTTTCTGTGACGCTAAGCGTATGTTTTGTTAACTGACATGTATGCTTAAGTGCTTGCAAAAGTTATACACAATGCAATACAGTAAATGAATGACTGGACAAAAATTCCTCAGGAGCACAACCGGTTTCGCGGTTCTTGCCGCTCGTCAGGTATGCGTATTCGGTAATCTTCTGCCCGGTTATTCTTATATTCGAACTCCCGATACGAATCATGCAACGCAAATCGTCTTCGCAGCTCGAGGAGTGAATTCGAGACGAACAAGTATCGAGGAAACATTGTGATGATTCTGCAAATAATATTTGCATCGCATGGATAGCCTAAGTATAAGAATGACCAGGTAGATTACCGGATACGCATACCTGACGAGCGATAAGAATAGCGGAACCGGTCGTGCTCCTGGGAAATTCGACCATTCATATACCACTCATTATCAAAAAACACTGAAAATTGGCTCTGCTATGGAGTTGGCTGATCTTAGACGCGTCTAACCCACAACACCCGATACAGGATCATCGCAATGATCCTTCGGGACTTGTTCGTCTAAAATATACCCCCTGAGCTGCAAATGGGATTTACATTTCATAACTGTTGGTTCATCTTTCTAATGGTACGTTTCTACAAGTTTACGCATCGAAACCAGCCAATCAGATGTGAATATCCATCACGGTTGCCAATAGAATTATTCGTGACTCTGTCCTACCTGATTATATATGACAAACAGCATACGATCATTGACTCCGTTGGCTGACATCGAACGCACATCCCCGGGTGGTGATCGATAACGGTGGTGCAGGTACACCACGTTTGACTTATTCACGAACTCCCAGTCATTCGTCTGTTTCACATCCTCTTGTTTGCAAGCCTAGGCTGCTTGATTGCTATACTCTCTATGGCACAGATAGAATTTTCCGCGTGTCACTTGGGTCGCCATTCTAAGGCTTTTCCCTCGCTGTGATGGTCTGTACCACGAAATATGCCCACTGGGACGATGTATTGCCCGAAGTGTCTAAATGATATACCTCGATAGACAGTACTTTAAGAGAAACATACAAAAGTCGTATGTATTCAACTTGTTTGATATATACAGAAAATCTTCAGGAACAGGGTAGAGATCGGTACAACGCATCCAGATTAATCGGTTCACGGACCGCTGTTGGGATGGCGATGAATCCTTTGCTGAGCGACTAGAGTCAACAGAAGTACACGGAGAGATAGGGAGAACCGGCTTGTACTTAGGAACAGCCCTCCAGCGTTTGGTCTTCGCCTGATACCCGTGGTTCTGACAGGCTAAAGTTAAAGCTGCTCTTCATTGCACAGTAGCCACTCTCCAGATGAACAAGTCACCAAGCGGAGTAAACCAGACTGAGTAGATGAGACACCTAAAGCGTGTTTTAGCCAGAAAAAACTCTGCGGCTTTGTAGTTCGCCCTCAGTTATGCAGAAACTGTTACAGTCAACTCGAACAAGAAGAGTGAATGGCGCTAGGGAACGCTTTTCGTATCGACCTTCTATGATTCTTCGATGGATAGCTGGGNCAGTTCGATGAACGTGTTCAAGTCGGACGTGCAACTCCTAAGCCTACATCCGGTTCACGTAATCCGGCTTTGCAGCTGGGACTGGATTACCATCTGCATCGACCTGGTCACCAACCGCCGTTCATCCAAAGCGGATCAGTTCTCTAGCAAGAAAAAGGATGTCTTGTGAGGGCGTTAAAGTCTACGAGCTACGACTAAAACAGGACTACACATTGTAACTGGTTGATATGAAAACAAGACCGAGTGTCTTTTTAGAGGAGTTATAGTGTTCAGTGTCAAGTCAAGGGGCTGGTCAGTCAATAGTCCTCATTTGAATACATTCACCCCATGGCGATCTAGATGTAACCGGTCAGTGGGAGCAGATAACAAGGTCAAATTGTTTGAACATGGATGGCACCTCGCACACTTCCGTTTGCCGAGCTTCAAATACCCGTAAGGCATGAGAAATAGTACACTGAGCTAACTCCGTTGACTGTAACGTGTTCTGACGAGTGCAGTCGTTAGACACAGCTACCAGTAGAGAGAATGCGGGAAAGTGAAGCGCTGAAACCGTAAGACTGAAAGATAAGAGAGACCGAGAACAAACGAATCGATGATAATGGCATTACAATAAGTAGGAGGGGGCTCTGTTAACTGATCACATAATCAAAAACCCCGTGTGGGTGACGATTCACGGACCAGAACTGAAGAAAATGAAAGTCTTGGCTACCGTGAGGTGGCCGGGCAAGCATGCATGCATGAGACCATCATAATGCAGAAGTGTTAGTGTAGCAGAACAGATATTAAGGAGAGAAAGAACCCCTCTCTGGGGAGAAAGAAACGGTGAGTATAGCTACACACAGAAAAACGAGGGGATGGGGGGAGGGTTGCAACAAAATAAAGCAAATCACAAGATGCAGTAAGCTTTCATGAAGAATATTTTGGGAGTGTGCGTGTGAATTGAGTGGATATGGGTTGCAAATCAGAGCCGTAAATTCGTGTGCATCAGAACGCCTGAATTCCAGAGACGATTAAACAAGGAACAGGAAGATACTAGGACCAGGGATCGAAGTGCGTTTATCGACGGAACGCAATAGACCAGTCGCGATACAAACCCAAACGGATAATGAATATTAAGAGTGCATGCATGTGCACATGCTAGCTTGTTCTGGGATGTGTGTTCAGTTATGTAGTTGCGCCATACACCTGCAAGGTAGGACAGGTCAATTGGATCGCACACACAAACATACTTCGGAACAACTAATACAACATGAGTTAGAGGGGATAAAAAAAGAACAGAATACGATCCAACTAATGTTCGTTAGGAAACACGTGTGAAAGGCAAAGAAAAGGGTGAGAGGGGGGGCGATTAACAACGGGTACTGAGGTACGAACGGTACACACTGGGTCAAGTAAACTTGCTACACAGACAACTGTGTCCAATCCAATCAGTGGTATCGTTCTGACGCTCACGCTCGATGTGTTAGAAGTGAGCCGAGTCTTTGTGCTCGTCAACCGAGGTGTCGAAACAGAACAATCAGACCGATAAAAAGGCACGAACCGATCAGTCGACTGACTCAAAGTGATCGGATGAGAATGACAAACGATAGCCTTAACAGTGCTGATCCACTGAAGATGATTAAATTGTGAGGCAGCGACAATACAAAAATGAGCCACTGAAAACCCTCAGGTCTTCATCAGATTTTGCAACATTTGAAGAAATTCATGATAGGATGCGGCGGATTCCGTACGGTCCTCCACCAATGCGGACAAAAATCGGCTCTTGAGGTTGGCTGGAGCGTCATGCCGCATACAAACTAACGCACTGTTGATTGGGCGACGTCGTCGCAATAAATTGATTAAAGCAGCTAATCGACGTCGCCCCACGTGGGCATCGTCGATATTGTCTGTATCGTTGGAGGTGAGCGGAAGTAAAGCGAATGGACCACCACCGGAAGGTAATTCCGTCGGGCTAGACACACCCAAAAGGTTCTGAAGTACCTTGGACGCACTTACACCGGGAACGGCATCTTCACCGGAACCAACTAATAGTAAGAGTAATTCGCCGGTATCGAGTAAGTACACACCTCCTCGAGTGATAGAACGGGCGGTAAGAGGCAACTGACCAGGCAATTGTTCCGCTTCAGTCGGGATTTCACCGGCCTCAGAGGAAGAGGAGTTTTCGTCCTCATCTTCACCATCCGATCGAGGAGATGCATCAACTCGTGAATCGCCGTCATCACACAATGACAGAGTAGCCGCTTTCTGCGCCAAGGTGCCTTCACTTGACACCATTGGTTTGGAAATAAACGAATGTACGGCATACAGTCGAGGATAGACCAGAGCTAACATATCCTCCGGGGGAGCCGATTTAAGCCGTTCCAGAGCGGCAGTTCGCTCGTCTAAGGTAATCACTGGACCGCTTCTGAAGGC